ATAAACATTTTTCTATGTTTTTAAATATTCTTAAACATTATGAATCCTCTATAGTTTTAGTAATAGTATAATGATGATTAAACATAAAAGGAACAGCAAAAGTAGCTTCCTCAATTATCAGACTATTTGGGGTTGAGAGTGGTCCAATACCGGGTGCAGATCCAACACCCAATCTCACCCAAAAAACCAAAAGTTGAGAAACCCCGGGTATTACTATAGCCGAGTCTTGTGGTTTGGTTCCCTCAGGTCTCAAATAAATTTATATCAAAGATTTTCACCACGTATCTTAGTAGTAAATGAGTGATTTGGATAATCATTAAAACAATGCAGTGTTTGCTCAAGACTAGTGCATAGCCAACCTGCATGGCATCAGGCTGCAGAGTGTAGTCTGATGTTTGGATCCAAATGCAAGGTATGGGACTTGAGTCCCATGACGGAAGTATGGGATTCTAGTTTGGCATTTATATGGCTTTGAGCTTCCTAACTACAACTGCTAGTTTTCATGGTATGATTCGCCCAAGGTTCTTGTCACACTTTTCCTGGCACACAAGCATATCAAGATTAAATTTAATCTGTTAATTGCAATGAAAGTTGATCTACATACAAGTGCTTATTTGGTGGGAAGTGCCGTGCTTCATATGGTAAATACAGCTCATTAGGATGGAGAAGCCTTTAATTTAAAGCTGAATAGAAAAAATGAATTGCCATAAGTGCGGCAGAGAACCGTATTATTGGTACTAAATGTTCCATTAAATTATATTTATCATACTGGAAATAAAAATAAAGACACCAGAAAAGCAGATACTAAACTTACTGATGCTTGTATAGCAGATTTTCCCACAGACAAGTTAAGATCCGGCAATTCACGGATGCCATTTTTATCTTTTGACCGACCAGTGTTTTCTAATTTGTCAGCACTACTTGAGGATTTTCCAGGTTGGGATTTTGAATGTCCAGATAAATTTTTTTCGTGGTACTTGTGATGAGAAGAATCAGGCAATCCATTTGCATCTTTATATTTATCACTTGTGTTCTTAGATTGAAGTACTCCAGTCTTCTGTTTATCAGCATCTTCTGCAGCAGGAGGATCATTAGTTGATACTTTTGAACACACAGGGGGATCTGACATTGATCTAGCATCAGTTTTCTTTTTCAAACTAATTCCAGAGACATCCAATTGCCTCTGAAAATTCGTGTCTTCATAATGATCACCAGGTATGCCCAAATTATGTGATGAACTGAGCATATTTTTCACAGGCAATGATGCAGTTTTTCCAGCAGCAGTCTTGCCCACTTTATGTTTATTTGATACATGACCATCAATATTTTCTCCAGGATTCTTCGGTATATCTTTTCGGCACCTTTTCTTTGCTTGCTGGATGGGTAATACTGGAGGTTCATTTCTTGTAATACGGAAAGAATCAGAAAATCAATAAAATCAGGAATTTGTATGAATAATTTATCTACTCAAGTCTACAATTTAATAGATTCAAAATGTTGGCACAGCATATGTAGACAAGTGTAACAGGAAAAAATATCCAACCATAAGCCATTAAAATAATGTCATGTTATTTCATTTCATAGTTATCAATCTTACATAGCAGTACGTAGCAATCAACAATAAAACTGCTATAGTGGGATAGACACCTACTAATTCTGAGAAACAAATTAAATAATTTATACAGCACATATATTAACACTCGAAGGAAACAGTTAGCCAAAATTAAAGATGTATTTATAATTTATCATTAATAATCAAAAGTCAGACAGAACAAAAGAACTTAAAGGGAAGAACAGATGTGCCAAAACCAGCCAAAACTAGGACAAGAAATAGATTTGAACCGGATCTTCCAAGAAAGAAATGAGTTTTTTAATTATTGTGTTCTAATATATTTTTTAAAATAAATACACTCATATATGAGGTCTAGACATAAATTTATTTAGCTATTTATTACAAATTTGTTTATCTTGTAGGACATGCAATATGATCAATCATTTTATCCAAATTTAAAATGTTGGTTAACTTAATTTTCTTATAGTTCTACATAACTTTATCATTTAATATATTAAAAATATATGCAATTATTACTAATTCAGCTCCAATCTAAATCTAAATAAACTAGTGTTTTAATCGATTCAATTAATGATCCAGTTGTAAGATCGTTGTCTTCAAAGATTACAGCAATCACTTTAAGGAAATTTAGACAGTGTAAAGAACCCCAAAACTCTAAATTTAAGGTCCATTCAGCTTCCATAACTAACCCTTAGTTTCATTGAATGTAAATAAAGCTGAAAAGAAAAGAAAAGTATGGAAATGAAGGAATAGAGGTTGTTGGAAGAGTGGAAATATTAAAAAAAATTGTCTGTCCACAGATAAAAATTTCCACACTCAACTACGCAGAAATATACGGAAATAGACCTTGTCACTACCATAATCGATCAAGCAATTTGTATAATCGATTAAGGCAGTCTGTCTTTCTTCCTTTCTGTTAATATTAAACTGCCCTCCCATCTTGCACAAAACCCCCCTCCTTGTGGGCGGACACTTCCTCCTCTTTCTGCTAGCTACCGTCGTCCCCTCAAAGTGAACCGTCCTGTGACATAATGAATGGAAGTCCACGGCAGCATAATAGAGGTTAAAGACTGTCCAGAGCAGCAGTTATCAGTAGGGCTTCACAGCCACAGTGCTAAAATGCCCTAAAAGCACGACTAAGGGCACACACCACTATCACGGCCTCTCCATAAAAAACTAAAAAACTCAATGTGACAAAGTCTGCATTGTGTCTGACAGCCACTCCACCCTAATAGAGGCAGCTCCAGGAGCTATTGATAACATAGCTTTAACCAAACAATTTCTATTTCCATTCTATTTCTCTTCTTTTCTGTTCCCCTCATCTATTTTCCCTTTATTACTATCCTCTACCAAACACAGCATAAAGATCATATCGTACAAATTCTTCTACAAATTGTATAAACTTCTATGACAAGAAAGCAATTAATCGATGTTCAATCTGCACATACAGAAGAGGGATGAAGGTCTACCTTTTAAATGGTTTTGCATAAAACCTAACAAATACACCCGCACAGACATATATACCACCTAGAGAGATTAGAGAAGGGAAGATGTACACAGAATTGGCCCCGCAAGTTAAGAGGCTATTTCTAGGATTTGAACTGATGAACTCCAGGCCACAAGACAGCAGCCTTAGTTTACACCAAGGCTAGCGCTCATAAAGAAAAGAAATTGACATAGTGAAAGAAAATATTCAAACAAGAAACACTTACATTCGTTCCAATTTCCCCCGATTTACAAAGAATCCGTCATGTTTGATTGCAGAGTTATCAACCTCAAAATACTCATCCTGCAGAAAGAACAGTTAAACTACATAAAAAAAAATATGCAAGGTGAAATGGTCACTATATAGGACCATGAAATTCCTGTCATCATCAATCAAAGGTCAAATAATCATAATGTCATAACAAATCAAAATGGTAAAAGATACTACTAACCAATTCAGTATCATCAATGAAAGAGTCTTGTGTATCATACTGATCATCAGGAACATCAACTAGATCCTCCTCATCACTACTATCCTTACCCTAAAAATTAATCAGCCGCCCATTATACCCAACATGGAAAATGGATTGAAAAAATTAATAAAATACTTAAATAAGCATCTATGATATGAATTTACAGCAGAAATCAATTCATTTTTGTATAGAGCATTGGGTAACACTATTGGGAAGCAATACACACATACCATGTAAAGGCGCTCAATCTTCTCTATTACAGCACTGAAACGGTTCGTCTGAGGAGCAACCTGTTCTTCAGTCTCCTTAGGTTGTCCCTAAAAGTTACAAGTTTTATTAAAATAGTGAAGCACAAAACAACATACAATTCCAAAAATACAATATGCTGATTTCTGCTGGTTTACAAATACCCAGATGAAAAATAATTATATTGTGGCATAAAACGAGAAAGAGACAATTAAAGGTATGATTACCTTGAGTACAATAATTTCATATAACTTCATGTTACAAATAAATTAATGTATGTGTTTGGATCCGAGATACACGTTTCATGACAAATGAGCTAATCAATGTAAAAGCAACAATTTCTTGCCTTAGCATTGACACAATTATACTGTGCCAAAACAAAATGGCAAACAGAATTAAATCAATATGCATAATGCAGTCAACCTAATAATTTTGATGTCAAATACAAGCACTTCCATGAGCTATTCGACTTTGCCATTCAAATGATTTTCCATAAGAGAAGCACCATGCAACACAAACCATTCTCGTTATGTAGTCAAACTAATAAATTTGTCATCAAATACAAGTAATTCCAGATGCAATTTGACTTTGCCATAACGAACCCTCTTAGATAAATTACATAAGAGCAGCACCAATTTGCGCAAACCATTGTTGATATGCATTCTAACTAATGAACTTTAAGTCAAACACAAGTACTTCCAGGTGCAATTCGACTTTGCTACGGCAAAACCCTTTCAAATCATTTTCTTATAAGGACAGCACCACGCAAACAAGCTGCTATGAATTCAAACTAAAAAAATCAAATACAAGTACTTATCTGAGCAATTTCACTTTGCCACGACAAAACACTTTAAATGATTTTCCATGAGAGCAGCACCATGTGGCACAAACCGTTGTTGTTATGCATTCAAACTAATAAATTTGAACTCTAATACAAGTACTTCCAGGAGCAATTCAACTTTGCCATAATGAAACCCTTTCAGGTAATTTTCCATGAGTAGGCCGGCACAAACAAATGTAATTATGCATTAAAACTAATAAATTTGAAGTCAAATACAAGTACTTCCAGAAAGAAGCAGTTTCACATTGCCAGGACGAAACCCTTTCAGATCATTTTCCATAAGAGCAGCGCCAGACAGCACACACCGTTTTCAAAAACCAGCAAGAAACATGCACTTCCCAAAAGAGGAAACTAAATTGTTATAGACAGAAACAATGTCAGGTCAGTCATGAATGTTTTGGCGGAACATGTTCTCAGAACCTAGCATTATCCAGACCCTTATTTCAGTGCCAAACTAAAAAAAGCCACAGCTCAGTAGAAAGCCACTCTTACAGATTACAATTCAAAATATCATCCATTAACTATTAACACTCGCACACATTTTTACCTTCTCTCGAATCACAATATTCATACATATAAATTTCAGAAACACGCCAAAACATAGTCGTAACAATTCGGAACCTTAATGAAAATTGAAAAAAGAGGCTCACCGGAGCGATTCTGGACTCGAGCGCAGGGTTCACATTGGGAAGGTGCTCTAGTGCGGCAGCGAGTCCCTTGTTGTTAAACTTATTGGCGTCTTTCATCAGCTTCTTCCACGACACTATGGTAGTCTCTCCTGGGCGGAGCTCCACCGTGAACATTTGCCGGTCGCCTTTCTTCACGAATGACGAAGGAGCCCTCGCTGCCGACGACGAATCGCCGCCGCCTACAGGAATCGTATCCTCCGCCATCGAAGTGGTTCCTAATTGGCGAGTTTCTCGGGCGTCGGTGCGAGATTTCTGAGAGAATTATTAGGGCGCGAGAAACATGCGGAAACAGAATGATAAGCCCTAAAAACTGGACAGAAGGACAAAAACAAAGAACGAGAAGAAGAAGCGAATTGGGATTGCGCGGGATTCAAAATATGAGAAAGAAAAGAAAGATAAAAATAAAAGAAAATAATATGAAAAGAATAAAAGAAAAGGGATTGTGGATGGGTTTTAAGTTTAACTGCAATTTCGACTCTGTCGTAAAAATTTTGCAGTGCTTTTCTTTTCCGAGAAAGTTTTGAGGGAAAGGGGATTATTTGGGGCGGGTATTGGCATTCAATGAGCAGCATCATCATGTGTTGAATGTAGGGCTCAACTATGGTCCGGTTCGGCCCAACTCCAGCAATCCCGTCTAACCTGAATTTAACATTTTGAGCTTCTTATTCCATCATGCAACTCATGACGTTAGTTAGATTTGGGTCACTTGGTTGTGGGTTCTTTAGTTTTGGTCCCCATTCACCTACTTTCTTTTATTTTCGAAAAAATAAATAAATAAAAATAAAACACTTTTTTCAATAAAGGAATTTACCCCTGAACCAAGAATTCATAGAAGAAACATAAACTATTTCATAGTTTTAGGATCCATTTATTTTTGAGGAACTAGAAGACCTACTACACCAATAATAATAAAATAGTACAAAGCTCAGTGTTTGTGATTTGTTATTTCTTTCCGTAAATGTCATCATTCTTAACATTAAACACATGAAGAAAAAAAAAATCATTCATCACCCATCCATTACTAACCTATCCATATTCTGGATTCTCACATTGAAAACACAGTATGGATTTGATTTTAAGAATGGGAAATCAAAATTTGTCACGAGCAACGATTTTAGAAAAAAAGCCGAGAACAACTACGAAAAAGAAAGTTGAAAATTAAGTGGTGGAAAGAGAAGTCCCTTTACCGATAAAATCTTATTCACAACTTCTGATTGTTCAACTTGAATTAGCCAAATTAGATCATAAAATTGTGAGCTTGTCTTTTGATAACTTGTTTGTTTTGTGAATTTCTAGAGTGGTTTAAGCATGAATATTGGGGTAATTCTAAATGTTTGATTTTGCCCTTTCTTTAATTCTTAAAGTTTTTGTTGTTTTATTATATTTGAGTCGTTCTGAAACTGTTTTGAACAAAAATTCCTAATCTGATTGTTTCAAAAGCGGGTCGGTTACAAGCATTGTATGATCTTTCATGAGCATATGTTTTTACTGCAACAAAAAGCTTGATACTTGATGCTTTATAAACTCCATTCTAAATCTTTTAGAAATCTGATATTTGGAAATGCATATCTAATTAGCATGTAGGATTATTTGAATGTGAATTACTATAAAATTTTATCAAATTTCTAATCAATGTCCGATTTTAAACGTTTCAATCCAAATTTAGATTCCTAACATGGACGCATAATAATATAATGATTTTTAGTATTATTTCTTTCATTTTTTCATTTTTGGCAATGTCCCCATAATATGCCAAGAGATATTTTTATTTATGGAAAACACCTCGGTTTATAGATGTTTATAATGTTACTTTTTAATTAGAATTTTTGTATTCCAATGTTATGATCAAGTTTAGGCCCAACTTATTTTTCGAACAATTTTGGATCATATTACCTTTACATAATGAGACCACTTCATTCTAATAATCATTTGTTGTTATGTTAAAATAAAAGGTTTTTATAGTCAATATTGGAAATATTTTGGATTTAATTAAGGCATAGCAAATTATTTAAAGTACTTGAATTTTTATAGTTATCTTTCTGACAAATTGATTGAAAATTAAATCAAATACTTACTGATATTGTCATAAACACAAACTTTAGAATACAGAACAACAGAAAACTTAGATAACGTAAACAAATAAATAATTATTCATCATCTAGCATAGCTACCACTGGTGGCAATCTGCATGGAATAATCAATTCTTTGGTTATCTTCCACTGTTTCATGTGGATATAGAGACGGCTTTGGAGGTATTTGTAAGTTTTCAATGTCTCCTTCAAGCATTTCGACTACTTTATTGATTGAGGGACGATCATTTGGTTTCAATTGGATACACCAAAGTGAAACTATGATCATCTTTTTTGCTAATTTGTTCTCCTCCTCTGTGACATCTTCCATTTCTATATCATTCTCTTTGTCAAGTTGATCATAAATCCAAAAGGGAAAGTAAAGTTGGCTAGAATGATCTGCATGGGGGTTTAGGTTTTTTCTCTTGCTTGTCATCTCCATCAGAAGCATTCCAAAGCTATAAACATCAGACTTATGCGATATCCTCCCAATATTTTGGTAAAACAATTCTGGAGCCATGTACCCAATTGTTCCTCTTGCTGCTGTCATAGTCACAATGCTGTTGTCTATTGGATATAGTTTTGCCAATCCGAAGTCAGAGATCTTTGGGGTGAACTTTTCATCGAGCAGAATGTTATGGGGTTTGATATCAAAATGCAAAATCTGCATCTCACACCCATGGTGGAGATAAGAAATCCCACGTGCTACCCCAATTGCTATATTGTATATTGTGTCATAGCTCAAATGTACACTTTCATCCTTGGAAAATATGAATTTGTCAAGAGATCCATTGGACATGAATTTATATACAAGGGCACGTTTTGAACCCTCCACACAATACCCAATTAATTCCACTACATTTTGATGATGCGTTCTTCCAATTGTTGCAACTTCATTGATAAAATCCTGTCCATTACCCTTTGATTTAGCCAACATTTTTATTGCGACGTAAGGTCCACTACGCAACTTTCCCTTAAACACAGAGCCATAACCTCCTTCTCCCAATTTTTCTTTAAAACTTGTAGTCATCTTCTTGATTTCCTTGTATGTGTATCGAATGGGCATGAAGTTATTTTGCTCCAAATAAGTTTCAATATTTTCATATATCGACAAATGTCTTTTTCTCCACTTGTATATCAAAAGAACAATAAACAATATCATTCCAACTAAATATCTGACTATTAAGTATGGTACAACGTAGTGTCCGAAGGTTAATGACGCTGATTCATAAATGGTAGTATCAGAATAATGGTAGTCTGATCCAGTTATTTCAAACACTCCTGTAAATTAATATGACAAATATGATCAAGATATAATATAAACAAAATTTATGATTTATAAAATACAGAAATATGGAACCTCATGAGATAGAAACAAAGTGAACTGTATTCTTTCGCGTTTAATTAAAAAATTATATAGAAATAGAGGAACTCACCTTCTACTATAGTAAACAAAAATGACTGCAAAAGCAAAAAAAACAAAAAAACTGGAGTTAATAACAGCAAAAGAATAGTGATTAACAACAGAATATAAGAAAAGTGGCTGCAAAAGAAAAAAAAACTAGAGTTGATAACAGTTAAAAAAATATATAGATTAACAATTGAATGTAAAATATAGATTCAGTAGACTACCAATTTAATTAATATGAATGGATTGTGAATTAAATATATATACAGAATTAAAAAAAATATTGAGGGAATTCAGCTTCAAATTTGGGTTGAGGGATTTAAATATTCAATTTATTAAATTTTCTTTAGAATGATTTTATAGTTTTGAATTTGTAAAAATTAAAAGCATATTAAACTTTAGAAAGTTTCAAATGTTGTACATCAGTTAATATGATAGTTATTAAAATGTTGGTATGACATGCTAATTGAAACACAGGTAAAGCAAATAAGTAAAATCCTTACCTCCTACAAAAGATAGCAGCTGCCGCCCCCACCCTATTCAAAATAACAAAAAAGGGAAGAAAATATGAACATGAGATTATCAAGGACAAGGGAACAAAGAATACTACTTACATAATTTCACAAATTAATACTCATTACCAATCATTTTTCTTAATCCATTCTTCTTTTAAACCATTTTTCTTAATCCATGTGTTCATACAAATAGCTAAAATACAAAAAGAACATATCAATTTTTTTTTAAAAGAGTGATGTTATATGAACATATCATTTATTAATTCCCTTTTTATCATAACAAAAATTTTCCCTTTATTCTTTCCTCACAATATAATAATAATAATAATAATAATAATAATAATAATAATAATAATAATATTTCATATATTTTTCACCTCACTCTCCTCCAAATGCATAATATATAATATGCTTTCTCTTTATATAATGAAATAGTAATTTATTTTATATTTTCTCTTTACTCTATACATCACAAAAAAAAAACAATTTTATGAAAATAATTTTTTTCATTTTTGGAAAATTTTAAAAACCTGTACGACCTTCTTCCAAGCATCGAAGAGTGTCGGTGGAAGAGTTGAAATCGCAATATCTTTTATTACAGTGATCCTCACAGGCTACAGGAATCCATGAAAGCTGGAATCCATAGAGTAGCGCTCTGTGGATGATGGCATAGGAATAGGAATACTTATTTGTGTCCAAACCCCACCAGGATGTACGAGCAACCAGCTTTACCTCACAACCAACTTCTAAGTCCCCGGCACTTAAGTGACCAGCCATGGCGTATATGTACCCATTCACGCACCCACCAGTATCCACATACTTTCTGTTCCTGCTAACAGGATGGCTACAATTCAACCAAACTATATACTGGAAAAGCATCGGGCCAGAAAAATCTTCATATGCTTGGTAGGGATCCGAGATGCGGCTGTAGTAAGTACTAAAAGTGAAATTGGATTGAGACAAAAAATAGCGAGGAAGGGAGGAGCAGTTTGGCTGCTGCAGTCCAGGATCCGTCAGTCGGATTGTGAAATTATTGTAGTTGATTGCCTGCACATCATATTTTCCCGAGTACAAATATAACACGGTTACATTATTCTCACAAGCTAGCTCGTACCTATGGTCGCCACACCCTTTTGGGTCTCCTCTCAATCGGAATGGATAAGATATGTTGTGGATTTTGCCACAGGAAGAAGGGGGGCATCTATGCTCTTGCTCCTTGTTGCTACCACAACTTTGGTATATTAGAAACACCAACGTCACCAATAATGCTCTCTCTTTCCACATCTTACGCCCAATCTCTTTCTGTTCCAACTTTAACTGCAGACACATTTAAAAGAACGAACTTCCACCATCTTTCCAGGTAACTGAGTGACGAAGAGGAAAGAAACAACTACAAATATATAATAATATGATTTTTAGGATGATTTTTTTTTTTATAAAAGTGATTGTCAAAATAAATAAATAAATATATACATATAATTCATTTAATTAAATATAAAATTTAGACATTTATTTTTTATAAACTTTAAATATTGTACATTTCTATATGGTTGTGTGTTGTTATATAATGAATGTGAAAAAGAAACCATTAAATGTCCAATTTAATTTTTGAAACGGTACATACTTCAATTTTTCTCTAATTCAGTGCATAATTTTAAAAAATATAAAATTTATTTTTGAATATAATATTTGTCTACATTAAATTATATATGCTTAACAAACGCAAAAAAACAATTAAAGATGGGTTAAGAATTGAAATTTAATAATATTATTATTATTAATCTAAATTAAATTATGCATATTATTTCGTATTTTGAAATGAATGTCTCCTTGTAAATATCTAAATAATGATTTTTAAAAATAAGTTTTAGTTTTAGTACTCGAAAAAAACAATATCTTATTATTTTAGTTTTCAAAATAAATATGACAAAACAGTTTAAAAAGGTGTTCATATTTAGTCAGAACTCTTTACTATAACATAAAAAAATAAAAAAATATTTTTTAGACAATCTGAAAGCATTTCCACACAATTTACAAGTTCAATATAAAAATATTATTAAAATTATCAGTTATTAACTAATTATTTAAAAAAGTAAAATTAATTAAAAATATAAATAATATTTATAATTATAATTTTTCTTTTTTTATTTAATCATTATTTATTAATATTTTATCCAAAATCAACTGTAAAAATATAAATTTTCCTTAAAAAATTTGAGTCAAGTGGACGCATATTTTTCTCCCCAAATAATAATGAGTGATATGTTTCTTGACATATATAAAAGACAACCTTTGTCAACTTAATTGGGTGTTCAATTATAACTTAGGAGTGGAAAACCAAAATTAATAATAAAAAAGAAAAGAGGAAGATGAGAACGAATATTAAAGTGAAAAAATAAAATAAAAATAAACAAATATAATAAAAAATAATTTGAATCGATTATTTTTAAAATATTATTCGTATAATAAACTCTGTAAATATATTTGAAAATTAAACATCATAAAGAGAAGAAAATCTATTGAGAAATTGACATCTAAAACTTGAAAATCAAAAAATGAAAATTATTATTTAAGATTCTACTCATTTGCTCAATAATTTTAGAAATGAGATCTCTAGATAAATTTTGCTAAGTAAATTCTATAGTGTTGAGCAGTTTCCTTAGTTTAAAGTTTTTATAATTTTTTTAATTTATCATTCATCTAAAAAAATAAAAATTAGTTAAAATATTTAGCAATAAATTAGATTCATACATATATTTTTTTCATTTTAAAAAAACTATATTAAGTACTAATAATTAATTAAATAAATATGCTAAATATATATAAAATACGTTAATACAATTATTGATAAAATGTGTTCATCATATTCCTTTCCTCAACTCAATGTTACTAAGAATATTAAAATAGGCTTAATTTGATGAGCCGATTTGAAAGGTCCAAGAAATAAATCAAATTAGAAAAAAAAATTTGTAGTTTAAATTGAATCAGATCTATTTTAATTCAGATCTGTTTAAGTCATAATCTACATGAACTTAGAGTGGGACTAATCGGATTAGTTAGTCCATTTTATAGAATAATTATTATTTTATTAAAAAATATATATGTATTATAAATTTAATTTGATAAGAGATTTACTTATTCTAATAAGAAATATATGAGTAAGTATATGACAACCACTTATTTTTAATATATATAAGGGTTAAGATTAATTATTATTTTATATTAGTAAATTAATAAAAAATATATGATGATAATGAAGAATAATTTTGAACTCTTAATTTATTATGGGATCAATCCATTCTTTTATAATTTATATATTAAAACATTTATATTTAAATAAAAAATAATTTTATTAATATAATTTTAATTTTATAAATATCTTTGATTTTTTTATTTTTAATTAATTATTTTAGTATAGATATGTTAAGATTTTTTTTATTTTTAATCGAAAAAAATGGTTTGTTAGTATGTTTAACATACAGTCAAATTAAGCTAAAAAGTTCGTTTAAAAAAATATAAGTTAGGTTGAGTTATCAATTTTTTTTCTTGGTCTGTGGGGCCAAGTAAGGTTAAACTAGATCACTTATTTTGACAATTCTAATTGTTTCTCTTATTATTTATAATCTGGATTTATATAAGTTATTATTCATAAAATCTCATAATTGACTCATTTCACAAGTCTTTTATAAAACATTGCTATCATATCATCAAATGTGATGTTTTTTTAAGTTGTTAATTTTATTATATTTTAAAAGGTGATTATTTTCTATTAAATCTTGACAAAAAGTAAAACATGAGATAAAATATTTATATATGAAATTTATAAGTTTCTATTGCTTCCATATTAAACCACTGTTAAAGTTTACAAGCATTTTTCTCTCTAAAAATGGTTGATTTATGAATGTTATTTGTCTTATGACTTGACACCTATATCTATTTAAACTGATATTTTGAGTTGTATAAGCACAAAAGGTAAAATTGAGAAGTGAGAACAAATAATATACAAAATCAAGTTTTCAATTTCATCATCATCTTCCAGTTATTATGAAAATTTGAATTGATTTTTTACGGTGGTTAGTCAAAATAATATTAACCTAAAATTAAACACTCTTTAGTGATATTTACTTATTTCAATTCACAATATCTAACTTCCAATTACAATATTATCAAATATTCATAAATAAAATATTATTTTTTAATAAAATTTGAAAAAAAAACAATTAAATAATAAAAATATAAATTAATAAAAAAGAATCAGGATATAATTTGAGATAAAATAAATAATATATATGAACAAATAAAAATAAAATATTATTCTTTAATAAAATTTTAAAAAATTAAATCATATAAATATAAAATAATAATAAAATCATTAGATAAAATAAATAAATAAAAATAAATAAATAATTATAAAAATTAGTACATAATTAAAAATAAATAAATATAAAATATAAAATTAAATTAATATGTAACAAAAGAAAAATAAATAAATATAAAATAAATAAATATATACATAATTAAAATAAATAAATAAATATAAAATATAAACAACACTCCTATATAATTTAAAATAAATAAATATAAATAAAATATGAAATCCAATGGTACATAAATAAAATAAATTAAAATTTTGTTTTGTTTTGTTCCGCCAACTTTTGTTTTCTGCGGCTCATCTTAAAAATGAAAAATTTTAACTGAAAAAGAAAAATATAAATTGAAGAGAAATAATTAGTTGATAATTCTTTTACTACAAATTCTTATTTTAATATAATAATAATATTTATTATTATATTACTTTCTTTATTTTTAAATTATATAATTTAAAGTTGATCCGTGACAATATTTATTACTTACTTTATTTTTATATTACTTTAATATAATAATATTTATTTAATAATTAAATAATAAACCAAGTGTGTCTCCTTAAATTTATATATATAAATTAAAACTGTAAGCATAAACTAAAAGAGGTTGGTTTGCTATTTTCGGAAAAAGAAAAGAAGCCCCTGCATTGCGGGATGGCGATCTTATCAAAACTGTTGCCATTGCTACTGCTAATGCTGCTTCTTATCAAAACTGGCACCGCTCATAAAAAGTGCGAGGAGGAATTGTCTTGTGGGCCGAACCAACCGCTCATCCGATTTCCCTTCCAACTCGTCAAGGGGATGCACGAGGGATGTGGTTATCCCCGTCTTTGCCTCTCTTGCACTCATCAAAATCAAACCATGCTTGTCCTTCCTACCATCAAACTCCAAGTCATTGACATAGGCTACGAATCGCAGGAAATTACGTTAACTGACCCGGAAAACTGCTTTTCGAACAAGTTTAGACAACTCAACGATTTTATTCAGAGTTACCAGTTTGAATCATATTATGGATCACACAATTATAACTTGAGCTTCTTCAACTGTTCTTCACAAGATAGGATCTCCTGTCCGATTTACATTATTAGTTCTTTACAAAGTGTCACCGCATGGGATTTAATATCTTGTACCAAGATGTTCGACATCATTGCGCCAGTCGATGCATCCAGCCTGATGCACAATTATATGTATTTGAGATGGTCCAAAGCAATTTGTGCTGAGTGCGAAGCCAAAGGCAAGAGATGTAAATGGAAGAACGACAACAACACAGAAGGAGAAATCGAATGTTTTGACTGCAAAGGGAAAAGAATTCACCTTCCTAAATCTTTAAGGTTTGCTAGTACAGGTGAGATTTGAGACTTCTTCACACTATTTCATTTATTAATTTTAACTTCACACTATTTTTATAAATTTTATGTTCCAGCCACTGTCCCTGTAAATATATATATAAATTTGTCATACTTCCTACTCGTTCACTTTTTTTAATATATTTTCTTCCTCAGCAATTGAATCCCACTAAAAGTACGTAATCAGAAAAAAGTTATTAATTTATTTTCTCTCCGTTTTTAATTAAGTCTCCAACTGTTATTGTAGGCTCGATTATTTTGGGAGTGGTGGTAATTGTTGCCTTTAAGATCATCCTCTACTTTAGAAAGAAGGAAGAAGACCAAGCAAGAGTGGACAAGTTTTTAGAGGATTACAGGGCAGAAAAGCCTGCAAGATTCACCTACGCTGATCTGAAAAGAATCACGAATGGCTTTAAGGAAATGTTAGGAGAAGGAGCTCATGGGGCTGTATTCAGAGGAAAGCTTTCAAATGAGATTCTCGTGGCTGTGAAGATCCTCAACAATACAGAGGGAGAAGGGAATGAGTTCATCAATGAAGTCGGAATTATGGGCAAAATCCACCACATCAACGTGGTTCGTTTGCTTGGCTTCTGTGCAGAAGGACTCCATCGTGCTCTTGTCTACAATTTCTTTCCTAAAGGTTCCCTACAAACCTTCATATTTCCACCAGAAGACAGGGACCATTTCCTTGGCTGGGAGAAGCTTCAACACATTGCTCTTGGTATAGCTAAAGGGATTGAGTATCTTCACCAAGGTTGTAATCATCCCATTATTCACTTTGACATCAATCCTCACAACGTGTTACTCGAAGACAACTTCACTCCAAAAATTTCTGATTTTGGCTTGGCCAAATTGTGTTCCAAGAATCCTAGTTTGGTGTCCATGACAGCTGCTAGGGGAACCTTGGGATACATTGCACCTGAAGTCTTCTCCAGAAACTTTGGGAATGTGTCTTATAAGTCTGATATTTACAGTTATGGAATGCTGTTGCTAGAAATGGTTGGTGGAAGGAAGAATGTAGACATGTCTTCTACACAGAATTTCAATGTTCTATACCCGGATTGGATCCATAACCTGGTTGATGGAGATGTACATATCCATGTTGAGGATGAAGGTGGTGTTAAGATTGCAAAGAAACTAGCAATTATTGGGCTTTGGTGCATTCAGTGGCAACCAGTGAACCGTCCATCCATAAAATCTGTGATACACATGCTAGAAACTGAAGAAGAAAACAAGTTAGCTGTTCCTCCTAATCCATTTCACTCAACGACTTCAACCACTGTTAAGGGACCTACTTCAAGACGACCTTTGGAATTGGAAGTGATTCAAGAATGATTTACAGTGGGAGAAATTTAATGTTTTAATTTGTAGAAAAAGAAGTAGCTGTACTTTCCTATTACAAGAAAGAATATTATTTCTCATAAATAATATTTGTAGGTAGTACACATTTTTCTTTTTTGAAATTCTCACATATATTTTATCTACATCCATTTTAACTTATCTTATGTTCCTATCACATTTATATTATTATTACCTACAAATTTTTTTTCCACTAATTTATGTTTCTGCAAAAAAATGTCAAATTACTCATAACCATTGGTTACCCACAAAATATTTTCATAAAAAAATGATAGTTATCTATAAAAACAAACATATGAAAAATATTTCAGGGTAATTAAGTTTTTTAGTGTGTAAGTAGTATTAAAAAAAACCCATCCCTAGTCTATAAATGTATTTTGTTGTGTTTGAATTATTTATATGAAAATAAGTAATTTGTTAAAACAGTTTGGATATGCTGGGTGAAAGGTGATTTTAAAATAATTTATTTCATTTTATATTAATAGTTATATGGTAGATCAAATTATTCAATTTTAAAAAATTAAGGACTAAATATATAACTAAAATTGTATACGAACCAAAATTGTACATTCACAAAACATTCAAAAGCAAATTTAAGGTCAAGGTCTACGCATATGCATGTCCCAAACACTGTATCCCCACGACAATATTGACAGCGAGATGATACTTAACACATACAACACAGACTTTATAGTGAAAAGGTAAACATACAAGTCATGCACGTATTTATTGGAACAAGTTATTGTCACATGTAATATTCATTGGTCTTTGGCTGGCTTTTCTTCTGCATTATTACGCGTAAAAGGTGTAGATAATGTGAAGGAATTACACGTAAACTATAGATAAGCTCTTGATTTGTGGCATAGAAAAAAATGACTAAAGTCCTTGCCGTGAAGCATAATGCAGGTTTTAATTTCGAATAATTTGACAGCGTTCTCTTTTGTATATCTGCCAAGAACCATCTCAGTCATTATTAACGTATATTTTGTTATTATATTTTATATATTTAATTTATAATTAGTTTTCTAAATATATGTATGATATTATTAGGTATCTAATTAGTTTTTTAAGATTAATGTTCACTAAAAAAAAAAAGCTTATTACTTACGGAATATTACCTATGGATAAAAATTCGTAGGTAAATTTTACATTACCTACGAATATTACCCACGAATAAAAATCCGTAGGTAAATTGTACATTACCTACGGATATTACCCACGGATGAAAATCCGTAGGTAAATTGTACATTACCTACGGATATTACCTACGAATTCTATCCAGTAGGTAATTATCCATTACCTACGTATATTATTCGTAGGTAATATAATCCGTGGATAATTCAGTAGGTAATTACCTACGTAATTACTATCAGTAGGTAAAGTGTACATTACCTACGGATATTACCTATGGAATTCTATCGTAGGTAATTATCCATTACCTACGGATATTATACTGTAGGTAATGTAATCAAGTGGATAATTCAGTAGGTAATTACCTACGTAATTACTATCAGTAGGTAAAGTGTACATTATCTACGGATATTACCTACAGAATTCTATCAGTGAGTAATTATCCATTACTTACGGATATCAGTAGGTAATATCATTACGTGGGTAATTCAGTAGGTAAATTATATTAAATTAAAAGAATTGTCACTAACAAGAATCGAACCAGTACCTTTAAATTGAAAGCTGATACTTAACCACTAAACTATTAGGATATTCTAATAATAATTTACAATTAAATTATACTTATATTTATTCGTATAAATATATAAATATATAAATATATAAATATATAAATATAAAATATATAAATATATAAATATATAAATATATAAATATATAAATATATAAATATATAAATACATAAATAGATAAATATATAAATACATAAATATATAAATACATAAATAGATAAATATATAAATACATAAATACATAAATACATAAATACATAAATACATAACAAATACATAAATACATAAATATATAAATATATAAATATATAAATACATAAATAGATAAATATATAAATACATAAATAGATAAATATATAAATACATAAATAGATAAATAGATAAATATATAAAGATATAAATATATAAATATATAAATATATAAATACATAAATATATAAATACATAAATACATAAATACATAAATATATAAATATATAAATACAAATATATAAATATATAAATGTATAAAATATATAAATATATCAAAATATAAATATATTTTATATTTATATATATTTTATATTTATATATGTTTTATATTTATATATATTTTATATTTATATATTTTATATTTATATATTTTATATAAATTATATATTTTTTTTATATTTATATATATTTTATATTTATATATATTTTATATTTATATATTTTATATTTATATATTTTATATTTATATATTTTATATTTATATATTTACACGGATAAATATAAATATAATTTATTTGTAAATTAGTATCAAAATATCACTAATAGGCTTAGTGGTTGGAGTATCAGCTTCTGACTTCAGGAGTCCTGGGTTCGAATCACTGCTGATAATGATTCACTTAATCTAATAATAATTCAATGTTTCGAAAATATTATAAATAATAAAAATATAATATAAAGGGGAGGGGGTAATAATAAAAAATAAGAGAGGGGGTTGTAATAAATAAAAATATTTTGTTTAGGTGAGTGAATTACCTACGGATTAATCCGTAGGTAATGCCAGCGAGTGCATTACCTACGGATTATATTCCGTAGGTAATTACCTACGACCAAATTACATACGGATTTTCTACGGAAAGAAATCCGTAGGTAAAGTGACATTACCTACGGATTTTTGTCATTACCTACGGATTTTACCCGTAGATAATAAGCATTTTTTTTGTAGTGGTTTGTATATTATATTTATTTTAAGTCAGTGATTGGAATTAATAGAGAAAAATATTTGTTTATGATATCATATTTTTAGGGTAATTTCGCTTCTTCTTCGTTTCCCTTCATTTATATTTTTCTTCTTTTTCTCACCGTCATGATAGACAATAAGAGTTCTTTCCATCTGGCTCTTATGATTTCTGATATACGGAATCATATTTCCATCATTCTTGAAATAGAAAATGTCTAATACTTTATATGGGCATAACTTTTTAAAATTATCGTGGGTTCTTGTAAGATCCTTCATCACATTATTCTTCCTACCAATAGTAAAGAGAATGTACATGTGACTGAGGATGAAAAGGAATTATGGTGGACTCTTGATGTTAAGGTTCTTTCTTGACTTTATGCAACCATCTCCAATGACCTGTTGCATAATTATTGAACCTAATGCCACGACCATAGATGTTTGGAATAGGTTGAGAGATATTTTCTAAGACAACAAACATTCTCGTATGGTAACTCTTGAGGCCAAATTCTCCACTACTAAGATGGTGAATTCTCTGAATGCTTCGGTATATTGTCAACATCTCAAGTCCCTTGTTGATCAATTGAAAAATGTTGGAACACTGGTGTTGGAGAGTCACCTCGTCATTCAACTTGTTTCGGGTCTCACAAGTGCATATCACGGTGTAGGGACGTTAATTCGGTAGAGTGATCCCCTACCTCCATTTTATTAGGCTCGATCGATACTCACACTTGAGGAAGCCAGATTGGTAAAGGAGGCTGCCACAGGATTGGAGTCGACAATGGTGGGTGCTTCCCAACCCGTTTATGACTCAAATTCCTCACAAGAATTCTGAAAAAAAAAAAAATCCGGTGGCGGTGGTCGCGGGTCTGGCAGTCGAAAATTCGGCCGTACAAGGGGCAACAGTGGTGGTCAGTAGCAGTTTGGCGAGAGTCCACAATAGCAGCTACAATGGGGGTCTTCACCTCTGCAGTTTAGTGGGAGTCCACAACCACAGTGGGGGTCTTCACCTTGGCCGAATTACCCACCTTGGGGTTGGATGCCTCAATGGGCTCCTCCATGCCCATATCCAAACCAGGGGTGGCCATGGGGTCCAGCGCCACAGAGACAACAACAACCCAGCATTCTTGGGTCACGCCCACAATAAGCTTACATGGCCTCTCAGAATGGGTAGTCCACTTCTAATATTCCTACAAATATTGAAGCGGCGATGCATACTATGTCTCTTAGTCCCCTTAGTCCATCATGGTACATGGACACCGGAGCTACCTCTCACATGACATCTTCTAATGGTAATTTCTCGTCTTATTTTAATTTAAGCAATCATTCTGGCATTATTGTTGGTAGTGATCATACTATCTCGATTCATGAATATGAGAATACTTACTTGTCTTCCCCTAACTCTTCTCCTATCTCCACACTAGCGGACCAAACTGTACCTTCCCCTCATATTCTCATCCCACCACCCCGTATGGTCACAAGAAGCCAAATAGGCATTTTTAAGCCAAACAAGAAATATGATGATGAATATGGCTTAACCACTTCCGTTACCCGGTCCCCATTACCTCGTAATCCAGTTGCGGCTCTTCGTTATCCCAATTGAAAAATGACCATGGATGATGAATATGATGCTCTTATTAAAAATAAGATGTGGGAGTTGGTGCCCCGTCCACTTAATGTTAATGTTATTCAGTCTATGTAGATTTTTACTCATAAAGAGAAATCTAATGGTGTGTTTGAGAGGCATAAAGCCCATCTTGTAGGTAATGAGAAAACTCAGCAAATTGGCATTGATTCTGGTGAAATTTTTAGCTTGGTAGTGAAACTGGCTACGATTCGCACCGTTCTTTCTATTTCTCTTTCAAAGACATGGTCCATACATCAGTTGGATGTTAAAGATGTTTTTCTTCATGGTGAGCTACAAGAAACAGTTTATAACCATCAACCATTGGGGTATTGTGACCGTACTCATCAGGATTATGTGTGCAGTTTGTGCAAGTCTTTATATGGGCTTAAACAAGCACTTCGTGCTTGGTATAAACGGTTTGTTGATTATGTCATATATCTTG